TAATCATGAAGTTACTACAGACTGACACATATAGCGGGGTACTTGATAATATCAAATGGCCTCTACTCTAAAATGTCAATATCATCAAAAGAAAAAAAAATTGTTCCAGACAAAAAGACATTAAAGAGCCATGACAACTGAATACAACACATGGTCCAGGATTGGATATGGATCAAGGTAAAATAAGGTACTATTGGGAAAATTGATGATATTTGATTATGGATTATGAATTATGATTATTGACTATCTTTTAAATACCAATAGCCCATCAATATTTTATTTCCTGAATATGACCCTTATGCTGTGGTTATGAAGAAGAATGTCCTTGTTTTTTTGGAACTATACACCAAAGTATTTAGGATTAAAAGAACATGCTATCTGAAACTTTACTCTCAAATGGTTTAGTAAAGAGAGAGATGAAAAGATAAGTTTTTATACTTTCACGAATTTTCTGTTGGTTAAAAATTGTTTTCTGGGGCTGGGGTTTTGGTTCAGCAGTAGAGCACTCGCCTTGCGCATGTGAGGACCTGGGTTCGATCCTCAGCACCACATAAAAATAAATAATAAAGGTATTGTGTCCAACTACAACTAAAAAATCAATATTAAAAAAATTGTTTTCTATAAAGCATAACCTTTAAATGAATTTCCATTGCTGTCTTTTCATTCTTGAAATGTGTCCCTGGCCAAAGGACCTAAGTGTCTTTTTCATGTCTAGGAAATGCTGCCATGTTTTCCTTCCCAGATTGGTCCAGAGAAAGGGGTGGTGCACCTGGCAACAGCAGCCATTCTGAACGCGGTGTGGGACCTGTGGGCGAAGCAGGAAGGAAAGGTAAATCATCTCCGAAGCACCATATGTAGCTCTGTGGAACAGGAGGACATGTGACTTTCTCTATAAGCAATCTCAGAAGACCAAAGTCAAGTGCAACACAGGTCTCCAAAAGGAAATACTGAGATAATTGATTATTTTCTTCCCTGAGGGATATTGGCAATAGTTAGGAAATTATAGGATTAGATTACAAAGGGCCAAGAAAGATGGAAAGGGACAGCAAAGGGAACAGATTAAAAGGCAGCAGGAGATAAGGGTAGCATTAGAGGTGAGTGGGTGGCTGGGGAACCGAAGCTCTGATAGTAGGAGTTTGCCACAAGCACATGGGACAAAAATGGGTACTTTATGAATGTGCTTTACATATCTTTTCTTTTTTTTCTTCAAGCCTCTGTGGAAGTTACTTGTGGATATGGTAAGTAGTTT